CAGGGTGGGCAGGACGGAACTGCACAGGGGGATAGGGAGTGGCCTGGCCCCATGAGAGAAAAGGGGTGTTGCCTGGCCCAAACCTGGCGGGGCAGGACGGAAGTGGGCATAGCCCAGCCCTACAAGGGAGGAGGAGACAAGGCCCCACCCCAACCTGGCCATGCAGAAGGAAGGGGGCATGGCCTGGCCCTGATCTGGCTGTGAGTAGAGACAGTCATGGTCCAGCTCCAATCCACCATGAGGGGCTAAGGATTTTGGCAGTGGGGAGGGGGGGCAGTATTAACTGACCCTGCTCCCCTACTGCCAAATTTCCCCACTATTGGAGAGCCCTGCGGGCTGGATTCCAAGGCTGTGTAGGCCGCATTTGCCCCGTGGGCCAGAGGTTGAGCACCTCTGCTATATATAGGGAAATCTTAGGCTTGGGGCTTTAAAGATAATTTATTTCCTATGTTTTCTCAGCCAATTGCTAGTCTGTCTATCTCCATCTAGCAGATACCATGATACCAATACCTAATAGGAAACTAATTTTCACAGACCTATTCCCTTCCAGTAACATTTTCAATGCAACTTTGGCCTAAGTCACTTTTGGTAATGGATTTAGGCATATAAAGCCGACGGGATGTTTCACTTGAATATGGAACACCGATTTCAATGAGAGATAATGACCTAAATATCTTCAAAAAATCTGGGCCTAAGCCACTTGGACTTCTTAAGACTGGATCGAAAAATTGAAAAATAGGCTTAAAAAAGATTAGAAATGCAATTTTTGTAAAACAAGATGTCAAATAATTGTCCCTCTAATTTAGAAATAGGATTTTCAGATATTTTGCTTTCCATTTGCTATGACATCTTAGCCTTGTTTGCTCAAACTGATGATGTGGTTTCCACTTTGTTTCTATGACAGTTAGTCATGTTTAACATCAAACAAATAAATAAATAACAACTGGCATTAATTCTAAAGAAACGGATTATCCAAACAGATATGATATAATCCAACTGACCATAAAATGAAAAAGTATCAACTGGCAGCAATGACTGCTGGCACCTAACTGGTTTAACTAGTAATTCTCTCTACTTTTCCTCATTGATAATCCTGTTTTGTCTGGAAGACAGAATCATGGGAAATAATGTTAAATAGCATTTCTTGAACCTAGATCTGCCTAATACCAACAAGTAGAAACTTAAATCAGAACACACTGATGAAGGCTCACAGACTTGCTACTTGTTACTCAAAGTTGGTGTTTTCTGCTGTTTTCTAATCCTAACAAAATTACATGATGCTTTAAAAAAGACCTCTGTTCAGAACTGTGGCCAGGGCCAGTTACAGAATTTGTCTCCATAGCACAAAAGGGAGAGATTTCATTTTCAAAACAAGAAAATGTCATTAAAAACCACTAAGATGCGGGAGGAAAATCAAGGGCAGGTACTGTACCTAGAACTACTTAAGTCATTTTCTAGCTAAAAAACTAGTAAAAAACGTACTAGATTTCAAGTCAGCAGTGTCCCTGTAACTACAACGCATATGGCAATAGGCAAAGAGAAACAATACCTGATGAAATTACAGATTCTGTCATATAATCCAGACAATATAACTGATTTTTTTTTTATTTTGATGAAATTACAGATTCATTTACCATCAAAGTCTCAAGTACCCACACTAGATGCCCAGGATGAAATCCTGATCCACTGGAATTCAATAGCAGAATTCCTATCAATTTCAACACAGCCAGGATTTCAGCTGTTCAAAAATTTATCCCTCCCAATTCCACATACAGAAAAGGAAAAGCCAGTTTACTCCTTCCCATGGAAAACCCCACAACAAAGGCAAAAGGAGAAAGGAAAAGTCCAAGAGGTGCTCTTTGCACGCTTTCCAGCAGACTTTCCAGCTGACCAATCTCAGGGGTGCTGAGAAAGGATTTCCCTCTCTGAGTCTGAAGAACAAAGTGAGGCTGAAACTGCCTGGATCCAGTGATCAATAACTCTCCCTGTTCCCTTGCCAGGATAATAAAAGTTCCACAGCACAGAAGACCAGCAACAATGCCTTTCCAGCAAATTCTTCACAGATGTGTAGAACAGCTTGTCCACTGCACAATCACACCTCTGGTCCACTTCCTCTCTCTGTATCTACCTCGGACCTGTGCGCAATCTCTCTCCAAGAGCAGCAAAGGCTGAAGAGTCCTTTCTACAGGACTCTTGCCAAGAGCTCCTGTACAGTTTCTGCAGATATTCACACTATTAAAGATGAATATGACTACACTTTCCAAACAAATCAAATTTCACTAAATCAATTGTTCGCTTTAGTGTTTTTTCCCCAGAGATTTCTTTAAGGTGACTTTGGTCTTTTGTTTGTAATATAAAATGCATATTCATTCAAAGAAGTCTAAGATCAAATACAAGAATGCTTTTATCCATGTGTCAAAGTCCCAAATTAATATAATTGTATAGTATGCCTCCTCCTGTTTGGCTAAAACCAATCATTTCTGACAGACTTAATCCACAACAACAAACTGCATACATATCCCCTGTGAGTACGTGAACACAAGATTTTCACAGCAGCAATGACATATCTTTATGTCCCAACAGAGTTCATATACAGTTCAAATTCCCACCAACTTTGACAAGAGTTTTGCTTGCATCAAGACTGCCCATCTGGCCTGATAGTTAGGTTAATGACTACCCAACAGACATATTTTTCAGTTAACTGGTTGGTGATTTTAGCAGACAATTTGCAGCTATTTTTACAGTACCTACAGATAGCCATGTAGAGTATTTCTGTCCAAGCCAGTTCACCTCTACATCTCACTTATCACAGAATGCATCAGATAAGCAGAGAAAGTGGAGAGGTGAGAGTTTCCTAAACGAAATTGCATGCACTGTAGGCTTCTGCCCCTTAAATTCTTATATGAAGCAATCTTTTCCCACGCACACAGACGACTTTTTTAAAACGGTATCAAATGGACTCCACTGCTTGCCAAACCATTTAAGAATTGTTAACTGATGGAAATTCTTTCAAATATACCATGGTGTGCAGCTGCGATAGGGATAACCAGCTTTGTTCTATACTACAGAAAAGTCTCACATAATCATTCACTGTTAAAATAACGTATTAATTGTCAAATTCCTATATCCTGCAACCTCATAAAACAGAAATGTAATTGGAGCAAATATTCATTCCTTTTTTCTGTATCTCTGTTTCACCCACTGAAATGTGCAGAGGTGGATGAAGACATTGTCAAAGAGAATGCTTAGTTGTAACCCACTCATATCCTGTATGCTCTCCCCTCTTAACCTACTGAAATAACATTTCCAGGCTTCTTCTATGTCCACTTCTTTATCTCCTGCTTTTAGATAAGGAACTTCTGCTTTCTGTTAGTCAGTCTCAGCTGAAGATCGCCATGTAAATCATCTATATACTAATCCAAATGTCTTATTTCAACTTTACAGGCCAATTTTTCTGTTAGTTTTCACAGGATGTGGAAATACCAACTAAGAGCTAACTTACGTTTCATGCAAAATGCTACAAGGCAGATATTCTGGTGAGTCCCCTGACAGATAACACGCAGTAATAATTTTAGTCACTGAAATTAATATCACTCATTTAATCTGCAATAAAAAAGCCCAATCCTGCAAATATTAGAGCCACTACTGTAAGGTCTCCTATATCTCACAACTATTTCTTTTGTAGTAAGTGCTGCCAGGACTGCCATATTTAAATATCTTTTGAACAAATCAGTAAAAAACAAAAAAAAAAAGCATCTCCAGAGACACCATTACAGGCACCTAATATTTGCATCTTCCTGCTTCATACAAAATAGCGCAAATATTAGCTTTAGGCTAAAGAGAAAACTGGAAGGACTGTTACTTGCTATGAACACTGGACACTAGACGCACGGAAACTCTGGATTAGGCCTATGCCACATTCACCAGTGTGGAAGTTGGGGGAAGAGATTAGTCACTGAATTACTGATTATACACCATAATTATAGAGATAAAGAATAATCGCATGATCAACAAGAAAATGAATGGAAAGAACAGAGTTGTTTTCTAAGGTAACATCTTACAAGCTTTTTTAAACATGTCGCAACAAACCGTCAACTTAATTTCGTACTTAAATATATACAGCAGATAAAATCAGTGTACCTATTATCAAAACAGATATTCACAAATATTTTATACTGATATATAGATATAGATTTTCAGTAACATAAGCCTAAAATACAAAAGGCAAAAAGTTTTTTGGTGAAGCCTCCTACAAAATTCTGCCTCAGTTACACCTACCAAAATTCATGATGTTATACCGATATTCTTGGCTGGTTTCAGATAAGCATTTTCCATAGAAATAGCTACCAGCAGCGTGAGCAAAAGGCAAAATTTCTCTCCTGGTTCAAATGGGTATAACTCCACCAACTTAAACAGAAATTTGCCCATGTTACACTAACAGAGATCCCAACTTAAAATCTGGAATTTTATCAGCCAGCCCTCTCAGAGACCAGGCAAATGGACTATATCTTTCTCCAAAAAAAAAAAAAAAAAAAGGGTCACTAAACACCAACTTTTCTTTACAGCACGCCCAGTTCTGTGAAAGGAAACTTTCCAATGTCATTGGTTTACCTGACCATAGGATTAGTCTAAATACTGAATATAAGTCAACGAGACTTGTGCATTCTTCCTGTCTTTGAAAATCAGGTCCCTTAATAACCCTGATCCAGATATCCACATCTTAAAATATTAACTTAAAGAACTTCCTAGGCTCAAGGAATTATATCCCCCTTATGCCTTTTTTTGTGAACAATATTTGCTAAATAACTTTGACCAACTCTTTGTTTTAGTCAACAGTACATAGCTTTTATACATTTTTTTGTATTTCTCTCCAAGCCCTTCACAATTAAAGCACTGCCTATGAAATTAAAAGTTGTATGCTATGGTACATATTGCATATTTCTTCTTATACCAATAAACCAATTTCTAATGTATTATTCTCCTTCACCAGGCCTGCTTACCTGAGACTGACACTTTCATGAGGGCCTCCAGAGGTCTGTTGTTGTCCAGATCTCGACTGAGCTTAAGTTCCCCAGTGGCAGGGTCCAGAATCAACAGGTTTAACTCATTGCCCTGCACAAAGGTGTAGACGAGGCTGTCAGACACATCAGGATCATGGGCTGGGATCTTGCCAATCACCCCAGAGGGAAAGCTGTTAGACTTGTTGGTCACATAGTTGTTGAAGAGGATCTGGAAGTCCTGTAGCGCAGGTGGGTTATCATTCTGATCCAGCAGACGAATGTGCACAGTGGCTCGGCTGACAAGCGGGGCTGAAGTGGCTTGTACCACAATCACATACTCGGTCCGGCTCTCATAATCCAGATCCATCAGGGCAGTAAGGTCACCATTGAGGAGGTCAAGCTGGAAGACCTCAGGGATGTTACCCTCAACAATCTGGTACATGATTTGTGCGTTGGTTCCTTCATCTGGGTCAGCTGCACTGATCCGGGCCACAATGGAGCCCACAGGGCTGTTCTCTTCCACAAAGATGTCAAATTCATCCTGTTCAAAGACAGGTGGATTGTCATTGATGTCTAGTACAGTGACCTGAACATCGACAGAGGCTTTAAGGGGTGGGCTGCCTCTGTCCACAGCAAAGGCTCGCAGGCTGTATACAGCCACATTCTCACGATCCAGCTTGCGCTGGGTGCGTATCACTCCAGAAGTGGGCTCAATGTAAAAGTCTCCATCTCCATCATCACCACCCTGGAAGGTATAAAGGAGGCGCCCATTGAGGCCTGAGTCCCGGTCAGTGGCCGACAGCTGCAAAACACTGGTGGAGAGCGGCACATCCTCAAAGACTGAGCCCTGGTACCGGTCACGTAGGAAGCGGGGTACATTGTCATTGGCATCCAGGATAAGAATCTCAACGTAGGTGGTATCAGATTTCTGAGGGATCCCATTGTCTCGGGCTGTAATTGCCAATGTGTAAGAGGCCTGGTCCTCATAGTCCAGTTCCATCAGGGTGGTGATAGTGCCTGTGTCTGGGTCAATGCGGAATTGGGGGATGTTATCCTCCAAAATGTATGTTATCCTAGCATTTTCCCCCGTGTCTTCATCCGTGGCACTGATAGACACAATAGATGTGCCAATAGGCTTGTCCTCACTGACACTCACTGTGTAATGGGAGCTCTGGAAGACTGGGCGGTGTGTGTTAGCATCTGTGACATTGATAAAGACCTGGACGGTGTCAAAGCGTGTACCATCTGAAGCAGTGACAGTCAGCACATACTGCCTCTCCTGTTTGTAATCCAGGGGCAAGGACAAAGTGATCAGCCCACCCCCACTCTGGCTGGTGATTGCAAAACGGTTCCTGGTATTGCCACTTGTGATCTGATAAGTCACCACGCTGTTGACATCTCTGTCTACTGCAGTCAGTGTCAGGACACTGCTGCCCACTGCTGCATCCTCGTTCAGCCTGAGGTGATAGACTTTTTCGGTGAAGGTAGGGTTGTTGTCATTGACATCCAGAACTGTGATAGCCACACTGGCTGAGGAAGTCATGACAGGAACTCCATGGTCCCTGGCCTCCACCCCAAAGTGATAGTTCTCCACAGTCTCTCTGTCCAGATCAGCTGATACTGTGATCCACCCAGTGCTGTTGTTGATCTGGAAGGGGAACCCAGCATCCCCCCCTACGGATACTCCCCCAGGAGTGGGGTTCAAGTCCACAAGTCTGTACTCCAGGCGGGCATTGTCCCCAGAGTCAGCATCCACTGCCTGAATGTGTAGCACAGAGTAGCCCAGGGGCACATTCTCCAGCACAGTCGCTTGAAAGGGGGTGCTGACAAAGATGGGGGCGTTATCATTCACATCCACCACTTGCACTGACACCATCCCACTGGAGTTGATTAAGGGAGGCCTGCCCCCATCCTGGGCTTTGATCCTCAGCGTGTATTCACGGATGGTCTCATAATCCAGAGGGTTGATCAGGTCGATAGCGCCAGAGAAAGAGTGGATGTAGAACTGGCCTTTGAGGTTGCCACTCACAATGCTGTAGTGCACTTGGGCGTTGCTGCCCCGGTCCCGATCTGTTGCTTGCACCTGCAGGATCTGAGTGTTCACTGGGGCATCCTCCGGCACCTGTACCAAATAGCGCTTCTCACTGAACTGTGGGTAGTTGTCATTCTCATCCTCCACAGTGATGTGTACCATCGCTGTAGCGCTCCGAGGACCCGGGTCCTTGCCCTGGTCATTAGCTTCCACCACCAGGTGGTACTCGGAGACCTCCTCACGGTCTATGAGGGCACGGGTCCTTACTACGCCAGAGCGCGGGTCTATCTCAAAGACACTGTCCCCAGCACCTGGCTCAAGCAAGCGATAAAGCATGTTGGCATTGGCTGGAGCATCGCCGTCCGTAGCACGGATGGTCAGCACCTCATAACCCACCTCCAGGTTCTCCCTGATGCTCTCCCGATACTCAGGCTGCTCAAACACCGGCTCGTGGTCATTAGTGTCGCTCACAGTCACGGTCAAGTAGGTGGTGGCCGAGCGGCGCCGGGGGGACCCGTGGTCGGCCGCCGTCACTTTCAGCACGTGGGTGTCCTTGGTTTCCCGGTCCAGGCTGCGGGTGGTGGCCACGCTGCCCGTCTCCGGGTCGATGGAGAAGTAGTCGTTGGAGCGCTCATCAAAAAGCGCCTCCATGGAGTACGCCAGCCGGCCCGCCTCCCCCTCGTCGGGGTCCTGCGCCCGCAGGGCGATCACTGGCGTGCCGCCCGGCTTGTTCTCGGGGATGGACACCTGGTAGCTGGGCAGCTGGAACTGCGGGGGGTTGTTCACGCTCCTCCTGCCCCGCCG